CCCAGCTACATTTCTGAAAGAATGCAAAAGCATTGACATATATTTTTCCTACAATAGCCCGACGGGCAGGGCAGAGATAGATTTTGGTAGCCCGACTGAAAAAATCGCTAGCTCCGGGACGTCGGGCTAGCGATATTGCAAGCCCTGTATCTGATTGAGGAATCACTCATCTTTGGAAAAGAGAGTTTATTACAGAGAAATGGCTCTTTCCAAAATAAAAGCTATACTATCCGCTTCTTCTGGGCTATATTCTCAGCAGCATATTAAACAGCTGTCTAAATGACTCGGCTAAAGTTAGTAGCATGCTTGTTGTTTTTGTCTTTGCACTAGGATGATGTCGGCGTAAATGTGCAGTCATATTCGTTGTGTTCCCACTAGTGCTTTCAGGTTAATCTCGTTGAAATGACCTTAACGCCACAACACGGCAAATCTCCGTTAACGAGCTACCGCCGATCGCCCCGTGCATGGGGCTAGACGGCCAACACGTTAACGAGCTAACTGCGCTAACACACTAGTTCCCACCCATGTAATTGAGCATTGCATGGCACATCCAACATACTGTTTTACTTTAGTCCATGACTCGCTTACCTTCAGGGTCATACGTCACATGAAAACCAAAATAATTCCAAACGCCAGATCTGAATGAGGGTGGGGGAGGTTCAATTTGCCATGTTGCAAGGAGAGCTTAACTTCTGTCTCGCTAGCTTGCCCTGCGCTCTTCCTTCTGACGATGCTGTCTGTGTTGAGCGCTCAGTGGATCTGCGCTCGACAGTGCAGCCTAGGCGGAGTAGTCAAACGCAGATTCACTGAGCGCTCAACACAGACAGCATCGTCAGAAGGAAAGTTGATAAAATAAATTACAAATTTTGTATTGTTCGATACATATGCGTACCGAACCGAAAGCACTGTATCGAACGGTTCAATATCGATACGAATATCGTTGCACCCCTACTAATGAGAGACCAAATGCCAAGGCAGAGCTGGTCGAATATAAGCCAACATACTTTTGAACCATACTGATCACTGGTTAGTTGTGTATCAGCAGGATATTAGCAAACATGTCAAAGATGACTGGAAATTAGCCTGATCGGTTTATAGTTACAGTTGCTCCAGTTTTCTCACCGCTATTTTAGCCTCTTCCTCTCTTAGATTTAGATCCCTCAGTACCTTCAGTACCTTCGTGTTCTGGCTACCTCCTTTTTATGGATCTTAGTTACTCTTTTAATCACAATTTACAGTTAGTTAAAGTAAAATGAAATGTCCTTCTAGGAAATCAAAGAAAGACTCACTGCAATGTTTGTAGATTTTTAAACCACAAAACCAAATGTTGAATGTTTGAAAGCTAACACTTGGGTAAAGTTAGTTGTTGTAGAAGTAGTGGGAACACACTAATCATATACTACAGATCAATAGGAGGTAAATGGAAGCAGGCAGACTACTCCTTTAAAACCTTATGAGCTCTTTGGGCACTATCCATGGTGCTGATCCTACTTAATACCCCATACAAGACGTGAACAACCAAGAGGATATGCTCCGATGTTCCCACTAGTTAGTTCCAGTGAGAAATAAACGAAGTGTCAGAAACAAACACAGCATTATCAGCACCACTACACATTCACTTCCACTAGTATATTAATGCCAGAGTATTGAAAACATACTACCTTTGAGTTTATTTTTTTCGATATCTTCAATAAATACTATGTGATATCCACATAATAACTTCACAGATTGACTGCTTGCTAGAAGTTGTGTTAATAAAGTGGTTAAACTTCAAACCAGAACTAAAGTTTGTAGGACCTGATTTGGATTTTACAACAGCTGGCCATCTTCCCAGTCATCAGTGGCAAACAGCATGGTTATCTGATCAGATTATGTGATTTATATGAGTTACTGCAAAGAGCTTATATTGAAAATCTAAGAGGCATTTTGATTTGACAGGAAAATCTGTCACTGACTAATAAGACTACCTCCAAGAACAGGTTGTACATATTTGCTTGTTAAGGAATCAACAAAGCAATCTTCTTCTTTTTCGCCCGCCATGCCACAGCTTTAACTAATCTACAGTGTGTGAGCTATGAGACGGATCTGCATTTTTCAACTTTGGTTACAAACAAGCTTGTGCCGTCTGAGCCTTTCTTTGTCCGGTAACAAGTCTGTGCACCTTAAACGAAACTTCATTTAGGACCTTCAATTAACCTCTTGAAATTAGAATTCATAATCCATTTATCATGCTTGTACGACCTTTGAGAATTCATAATCCATACATCACAGTTTTCAGAATGATGTATGGATTATATCCTTGCACGGCCTTCATAAGCTTCCAAGATATTTGCATACTGCAGCTGCTGCAGAACTACATTACCTTCCGACAGTGCCTTCCCAGTCTTAATGTGTGGTTGCCCTGTTAGACTATGTTTAGACTAATATCAGCTTGGCCAGCAAACTGTTTGATGGAATATCTGGGCTATAAAGTCATTTAAATCCTAATTATTATGCAACATTTCAAGGTGATATTCTGGCTCTAACTCATATTTTCAAATTTTGCCCAAATCTCTATTGTGCTTGCTGACATTTGTCTGTTGTCTTGTTAATGGATTCAGTCCCTTTTCATATCACATAAAAAAAAGACATACACTGTACTCCCAACAGTTTATATGTTGACTAATGACTACATTTGCCCACTCAGAAGTGTGACCTCCCTCTCATGTGCTCCCTGAACTCTAGCACAATGCCTGGTACTGACCTGACGATATCAAATCTTAATACTACTGAATCAACTTATATATTTTGCAATCACTTTTTCCTTTGCAGGCTTCTATAGAGTTGTTGCATATACAGTGTTGTGAATAGATATTTGCCCTCTTCCCTATTTTTTAGTTTTTTGCAAATTTGTCACACTTACATGTTTTAGATCATCAAACATAATGCTAACTTAATACTATACAAAGATAACCAACGTAATTAAAAAAAAAATTTTATTAAGGGGGAAAATGCTATCAAAACCTGCCTGCTCCTCTGAGAAAAAGTAATTGGCCCTTCTTGTTAAATCATGAATTAATTGTGATTAACCACTTTTTTTTTGGAAAGCTGAAAAACATGTTGATGATTTTCGTCTGTTCTCAAACCGCTCTTCTCTTAGAAGCTCTGGGTGGAGTTCCCCCCCTCATTGTTTTTCTTACCATGCTACCTCTTCTAACCTGTCTTCCCAATGTGATGTTTGTGCAATGTATGTATGGTTGGAAGGGGGCCAATTTCACTGCAGGTAACATGTACGTGTATCATTGCAGCGACATATAAAGGCTTAATCATCATCAAAAAAAGTATGAGTGTGAGGCAAAATTCCTCACAAGTGCACATTGATACGAAAGACTCGCTGCCAGTGATCACAAATGCTTGATTGCAGTACTTTCTACCAAGGGTGGCACAAACACAGGTTTAGGGGAGAATTATCTTTTCACACAGGGCCAGGTAGGAAGGATTTCTGTTTGACTCTATCAAATATATTAAATCATTTATCAATAGGCTACAACTTGTTCATGTGGAAAACATACATCCTCACAGCAGACTCTGTAAAGGTCTTCTAATCCGGTGTGTAATACACTGCTCATGCCCTTAATAACACATTTATGAACAAGCTCTCTGACTGATGCCAAAATCAAACGTGCACACTCTCTCCCAGCAGACAGATTACTGATTCTCCTGATATTGTTTCGGCTCTGTGAAATAGTGTCTGCTATCCTCAGGTCTCCCGGTACGGCAGCATCCCATTAGCCTATCAGCATTTATAACCTGGTTTCCAAGGTTACGGCCCTCTAAGTCACTTCCAGTAAAAAAATATTCAGGATGATGCTTGTTGGGAAACTCAGCCAGAGTCTGTATTAATTGTAACTTTATGAGGACAAATGTGTGTTAGACACAGGCATAATGGATATTCTGAGTGCTTCTCCTTTTAGGATGAACCATTAAAACTGTCGTAAGCGTTCAGATTTGAATAAGAAGTAAGGTTAGATTTAAATGTAGGATTTGTTTAGAGTAAAGGGCAGGGTTGGGCATCTTATTATATGTTTTAGTGTTATAATATATATCCACCAATTATTTTTCTTCAGATTGCAGATTCTTGATGAAGGTGCCACAATGTAGTGTCCTGATCAAAGCATTATAAAATATAAAGAATGGCTGTAGATTTCGAAGGTAAAAAATAATTTCATAGAAGTCTATGGGAAAATGATTTTCGGCACCTCTGCTCTGTGACTTTCCTGATGAGTGTACGGGCTCAGTCCCTAATTTCAAAATTGTGGTCATTATTACTGACTTATGTGAAATGCCCAATATCTCAAACTAATATAAAGAGGAGAAATCATTTTGATGCCTAACCAGAACCGACTCTATGAGAACTCACAGCACAGCTACTTACACAGACATTAAATGATACATGTGCTATTAGGATTAAAGGATAAAGAAGGGAATATATCAGCAAGGGCCTTCACAAGTGTAGATGTTCCACAGTTAGTGAATTTCCAGTACAGTCTTTTGAATATTTGCATAATATGGAAATTGCTTATTGATATTATGCAAATATTCAAAAGACTGTACTACTTTTTTTATTGTTTATTAGGAAGAATACAAAGCACGCTGTTACATGCTGAGAAGACGTCACTTTCCATCTACAAAGGCAGTGAAGGTTGGTTTCTCTGTCTTCTTTATACATTCTGCCCACACATACTGAATTCAGATTTTTGGGTTTTCCCACAGAGTGGTAGAATTGTAGCTATAGAGGGCAGCAACATGCTGATTCTGTGATCACCGCAAACATTCAGCCTTTACCAAAACCAAGATGAAGAACTACCTCGTCTCACACAATCAAGATTGGAAAAAATGACGTACCACCTTCTGCTTCAAGCCAGAACATTTGTATTTTTCAAATATTTTATGAAAAATATTCCACACATTACAGTGAACATGTGAATAATAGACATGCAGAATCTATCTCCAGCACTCACCGTCTGGTCTGAACTGGGCTACTATGGTGACGGTCTGTCCTGCATTTTTCAGAGCTGCGGCTGCCTGCTCGTGTGTTGCACTGGACAGGTCCACTCCGTTCACCTACGAATACAGACACACACAATTAGCAGCTAAATATGCACTGACACGAGCAAATTGAAAACACTCACAAGTGCAGGTTTTGTTTTGATAGAACTCGCATACGATAATTCAAAATCACAGTAATTCTGCAGGGACTGTCAGTGTCCCGACAGTCTGAGGATTAAATCTAGCGTGAATGTTGTGTGAAGAAAATTAAACCTATATTTCATTTTAACGGGACACACACCACATCGCGAGAATGCACTCAGTCATCGGAGGGCGCCGGTTGACTGGTAACGCACGAAAAACAAAGAAAAGTTATGTGAAGCTTAACTCCACCTTCAGATTAACAAATCACTGCAAATAAGCATCTGGAACTGATTCCAATGGCTCTACGTTTTAAGGTACAACATCCTTACAAAGCAAATCTGTTGTGAAACATTAATATAAACAGAATTAGGAGTTATTCACCAACGCTGTGTCGTACTTCTCAGGGATCTGTATGTGTGGTGTCTTAGTTCATACCGACAGGATGCGGTCTCCCTTTCGAAGTTCCCCACAGAGATCAGCTGGACCTCCAGCAAGAATGAAGGAAATGAAGATCCCTTCTCCATCTTCCCCTCCAACAATGTTAAATCCGAGACCTGTAGATCCCCTCTGCAGCACCACCCGTCTGGGTTCCCTGACAGAAACACAAATCAAACAAAGACATCACATCACGGCAACTTATATTGGTATTCTCCTTGTTTAGGACACCAGTTCATCAGTTTTGTAATGTATGAATACATTTGATGAGTCAGTGACTACACACATTTTGAAATAATGTTGTACTTCATTATATGACGTTCTCTGAATGTGGAAAAATTTGTGGTGATAAATGCTTAGTCTCTGCAGGAGGAAACAGTGCTTAACCCGAAGATTACTTTCTGTTTTCACCAGCAGATGTCAGCATCGCACTTTGTGGCACAGCGTGAACAATGAGAGCCGGTCTAGCCTCTACGTCTCGTAAAAAGGACGAAAGAAAAGAATCCAAGTCAACACAAGCGAGTGATGAAGCAGCTGGATGAATGGATGAAAAGCAAATAAAGTCGACCACTGGTAAAAGTTTTTACGCACACCGTCAGCATGTGTAAAAACAAGATAACAAGAGCGCTTCAGCTTGGTTCATGTCTCTTCTAAAAACAGAACAGTTCTTTTGTGTGTATTCAGAATCAGACACATTCACAAATGTGGGCTGTTGACTAATTTTGTATTGCAACAGCAAATCCTGGCCTCCTTTCAGATACTACATTTGGAAAAAAAGTATGTATGAAAATTACTGCTGAGATAGAAATGAACCAGCGTGTCCCTCCATCTGATCCTTAACCTGAATTCATCTGTTGTGCAGAAGTTTTGCTCACTCAGTGGACATTTTTTAAAACCCATGATCTGCTATTTGTGTGACTAATCAGAGAGCGAGAGAGGAAAAATAGCTGGAGAAAAGAGAAGGACACACGTCAAAATGACCATTCTGCAGTCTGTCTGAGGCTTATCAGATTTATTATAATCAAAGCGCACTGATTGGCCCAAAAGGTCTATGACGAAATAGGTCATATTCTGGTAACCACGGTGATGCCAGTCGAGTGACGAGGGTTGTGATAAGCAGTAATCCCTCCATTAAAATGGATTAAGACAGTAGAGCAGCACTCAGGGTGTATCTGTGTGTGTGGTGTGTCTGTACGCGTATGTAACCTGAGTTTACTTGACAGACAAAATTTGCAGGGCCATCTGCCTTTCACTGCCAAACACACACACACACACACACACACAGAGCAAACACGGATGCAGAGGCAGAGCAGGGAAGAACTGAGGTCATCCTTCGCTGCTCTCACTAAAGATCTCAGAGCACAAAGGAAAGAAGCTTGAAAATACAAGATTTTGATTGTGGATTTTGTCATTTTATAAAATGCAAAACTAAACCATTAACAAACTATTTCTTCAAATTTTGTCAAATTATTTTCGTTTTTTTTTTCTTGGTTGACATCTGTGAATAAATGTGACTCTGACAAAGACTGTTTATAACCATCATATGATGTTAATATGCAAATGTTGGAAAGTTGTTTAATCTAACATAACTTCAAGTAAACCAACATGTACTTCTTTCGTGAAACAGCAGAAATCGACAGCCAAATATTGCCATGTCCATACCATGCTTAACAGTACTGATAATCTACTGTTGATTAATTTGTGATTAACTTCTGAACAGCTTTTTTCAGACAGCGCATGAACTGAGCTAACCAAAGATTATTTTCAACTTTCAATCATCCAAAGCTGCTTCAGTGGAGCTCCAAATTATCACAACAGGTCTGTTTTAATAGGCAGTTAAAACTTTAGAAACTTTATCTTGAATTATTATCTCATTTGACAGAAATTTCATTTCTTTCTGTGCGCTACAAAGATAAACTGAGATCTCACCGGGTGATATCATCGTCTCCTGCAATGGACCTGGGCAGCGGTGAGTATCTGGGGGTGGTCAGTGGGGCAGGGCTTACAGATTGGCTGCCACTCATGTAGGGGCTGATGTGGTTATCCTGGTGTGGGGAATATGCTGTGGGAACAAATACAGACATTTCTTTGTCTTATTTTAGTGTTACACATAAGACATGAATTCAAATGTGATTTCAGTAAGCTGCATTTAAGTAATCGAACAACCAACATAGATAGATAGATAGATAGAGAGAGAGAGAGAGAGAGTAGTAGATAGATAGATAGATAGATAGATAGATAGATAGATAGATAGATAGATAGATAGATAGATAGATAGATAGATAGATAGATAGATAGATAGATAGATAACAAGAACAGTATATACAGGTCACTTAGAAATGTACTTTTAAAAACATTTTTTCTATGTACACAGTTTTTAAATGATGTACTTTGAAAAAAGTACTGCAGAGCCAAGAAACGTCCTGAGAAATGACAGACAGCGTGATATATAGAATCTGTTAATATGGTAGATTCACAGCAGTGATAAATGACATGCTCTCTGTTAATATGCTCTGTTGGAGAAATGACAAGTGGCAGGAATCCAGAGAACCAAATTTACCCAGTCTGTTAATCGGACTGTTATATAACAAAAAACACTGTCTGGGAGATGTGATCATTATAGAATATATTCTTAATGTTACCACATAGATGTGAAAGATCATTAAAACTACTTTCATAAGAAACTGCTTTTATAAAACTAGTAAATCAAACTAGGTAATGTGCATTTCCAATCCAGTTAATCTATCATCCCAAACTGACTAAAGTGACGTCACATATTTAACAGAAAACTTCATGGATGTCAAATAATCGCTATCCTAAAACAGCTTTCTATAGTAGTCTTAATATTTACTTATTACTTATTATTATTTAATAAATAACTTACATATAAAAATATATGCAACTGTGATCTCACACTTCTGGCTTGCTTTTTTTAAATGCACCGTTTCTTTAACATACAGATAGCTCTTATAACTAGGTACCGAGCTTGCATCAGCTTGACAGCTGATTTTCATTTAATATTAATATTCAACATATGACATAAAAGTTGCAAGCTAATCCTCATAACTTTGTTCTCATTGTTTCCCGTATGACCAGTTGACATGTATAAAGCTCTCTTCTGATCTAAGTCGAGTAATAACGATTGCTCCATTCTCCCCTCGGAGAGCTTTATTGATGTAATTTACTTTTTAAAGAGTCTACGTCTGTATCGTGTTGTTTTTCACCTGCTGATTGCGTTTTCTGAATATTTCTTGTTCTCAGGTGTCTTATAAAATATGATATGAACCTCAATGAGACTGCGTGATTAAAGAAAGACTACATCTGATTATATCTTAGCTGAGTATATCTGATGGCATGTAAAGGGAGGACATGCAGATGTTAATAATGGTTTTTGTAGGTACCTTTTTATTTTACGCGAAAGCTAATTTAACTCCATGTACCCGTTTACAGTTTACTTCACCTTTGCTTGACTTTTCTTTGTTTCCTTGATTGGTTGCTGGTCGAGTTTCATGATTCATGACAAGCTCTGAGTAAGAGTCACTGTTCAGGGCTTCAGTAAAAAGCAGCTCTCTATGTGTGGGAAGCAAAGAAATTTCAGCTTTGTTCCTTGCTGTTTTCTTTCTTTTTCTTTTCTTTTCTTTTTTTTTGTTCAGCACCATCTGGCTCTAAAACGCCTCACCATCTTGGTGGCAACGATGTGTACAACAGTCAGCGGCACGCTGTCTGACTGCAAGTTGTTTTTGAACTTCTCAAGAATAGCGAGAGTCTACGCAGACGGATGAAACTGGGTTTCACAAATACATGTTGTGCAATTAAAATATAAAAAATTCAACGTTCAGAACGTAGAGCTCTTTTTGTGTACTCACAGTTAGTGACATCGGGCGGAGGGAAGTTGTCATTGATAAAAACGGAGGTGTGTTTGGCCACACGCAGGTACACGACATCAGGAGTCGACTTTAGGGCGGCCACTGCCTCCTCGTGAGTTACCTCCTCCAAACAGGAACCATTTACCTGAACATAAATGACATAAACAGTATTATTTTCTACAGACATGCGCCACACATGATAAATATCCATCCATCCATCCATTCAGGTTCATGGGGATGGTACCCCTTTTAGGGTAACTTCTTTTTTAACAGTAATATGAAGTGCAACCTTCATATGCACTTTAGTGTGTATAATTCGATTTTTAAATCAAATTTGCACAAAAGAGAAGAGAGTAAAAAAAAAAGAGGAAGTGTTTTCTTACAGCAACAAGCTTGTCGCCTATTTGTAGACGTCCATCTTTGTGTGCTGCTCCTCCCTCAATGATTTTGGTCACATAGATGCTGTTGTCGCCAGGGACATGTTGGTTTCCAACTCCACCAGCTATACTAAATCCTAAACCTGGAAGAATAAGTCACTACGTCACACGCTTGAATATTTTCTTAACATCTGATACTTTTTTTGTAAGTCATAACACTGTTTTTTTATGAAGTGTTCTGCTATAGTACCACAACAACAATAACTGCAATATATCTGTGCTGGACTAATTGTAGACTTGGCAGTCTGTTGCTATGCTAGCACAGTCTCACCTTTGGGGCCTTTGACTAGTTTGATATCCAGGATTCTCTCGGTGAGGCTCCTCCTGCGTCGTATACACAGTCTGACCAGACCACCTGCCTCCTTTAGAGCCTCCACGGCGCCGCTGTGGGTCACTTCTCTGACGTCCGTCTCATTCACCCGGACTATACAGTCATTCACCCTGCATGGCAACAATACATGAAGTAAAGAAGTGAACTGCCTTGGATGGGGGAGATGAACTGGGAGGAAAAACAAATGTTATGCTGCTCAGTCTAAGACCAAATTGGGAAAGGAGCTGCTGACAGTGAGTGGTCGCTTTCTTTTTGAGAATTAAAGCTAAACTAGACATACGTCCTGAAATGGGGAGATTGGAGTGGGTGAGTGAACACAATCAAATACCAGAAACTGAAAATAGACAGTTCTTGGTTCAATCAGACATCTCTTGTTCATTTTCAAAGATTGTCTAGAGCCACTGGCTTTACCAAGGTAGTTACCTTGGTATGGGTAAAGAGAAAAACTGCGAGGGATTCACATCCCTTTATTCTGTAGTATAATAACAACCGAAGCTCTCATGGTGAAGTCTGTTGTAAAGCTAGACAGCCAATTTACTGTGATTGGAGATGCTCTCCACACAGCAGCCTCTCACAATGTTAGCTGAGTTTGCTGGCAGCTGCTGAAAGCATTGTTGTCTAAGTTCAATAACTCCGGAACAATAATGTTACCTGCTCGATCAATGCCACACCAATAATTAGGTAAATCTGCTGCCACAGGTGTGACGCTACACACATGAACAGTATTGCTTCAGTTTGAATGTGAAAAAGGAGGATTATTAGAGGACTACAAATCCATTCTGCATGCCCAATTTCTGCAAACACTTGTGATAAATGTTCAGACTAAGATGGTTCAATTTCTAACTTTGAGGGCAGCAGCTGAGCTCGGGCATGTAGCACCCAAGAAGCGCTGCACCTGCACATAATGTAATCAAATAATTCTTGCTCACGTCTAATGAAAGCAACAGTGTCTGTGTTTGCACCTGAGTCGTCCATTCTGGGCTGCAGCTCCTCCAGGTATAATCTTGGTGATGAAGATCGAGGGGTCATCTCCAATGTGGGGGTTATCGGTCCCTCCAGCGATACTGAAGCCGAGGCCTGAGTTACCCTACGCATAGACACAGATACACAGAGTGTTTTAAAGGTTAAAAAAGCACTTATACAGGTTTTAAAAGATTACTGTGCACCGTGATATTAACTGATTAACGTTAGTCTAGGCAAGCCATAAAGTCGAGTTCAGCTGCTTTTCAGATCAAGTGATCTTAAAGTCAACAGAAATCAGCTGACAGCTTAGCCCTTCCCTACATCCAACTGGCAAACCTCATACAGAATTTGAGTTGATTCAGTGAGCCCACAGTTTCTTGGTTCATGTCAGATTTGTAGACATTATGCCTGCTCTGCTCTGTTCAGCATCATGTAATCCAACACAGAAGACAGAAAACCAACTGGTCCAGTTGCTGTGGCCAAGGTTTTATAGCAGACTAAGGATGGACCACAATGTACGTGCCACAGTCCTGTGTCGTGACCCAGTGTTCTGTGTTATTATTAATCTTTGATTTCATCATGGTTTCTCATTACTAGTCTTTTTGGTTTATGGTTCTGTATTTTTAGTTCTTCTTTGTTTTTTGATCTCCAGTTTTTCTGTGCCCTTCATATTTAGTGTAGGTTTAGTTCTGTCTTTGTGTTTATTTTCTTGTTCCCTAGTCAGTCGTGTCTCATGTCGCAGTTTGTTACTCCTGTCCCTGTGCTCCGTGTTCCCTCTGTTCAGTGGCAAGTCCGTGCCTCTGTGCCTGTCGTGTGTTTCCTGTTTTATCTTGATAGTCCCTGTCCCTGTGTGGGGTTTTTTCCCTTGTCTCGTTGGGTCTGATTTGTCCCAGCTGTGTTACCACCTGTTCCCCACCTGCTCGTCCTAGTCCTGTGTTTCTCTCTATTAGTTGTCGCATTGTACCCTGACTATGCTGTGCGTTTTTTTCGCTGTGCTCCTTGTAGTTTTCTAGCTCTGTTTCCCAGTGTTAGTGTTTTGATTTTGGTTCGTATTTCTAGTTCCTCATTTTTGGTTTTGTTTTCTGTTTGTTTGAAGAATCACTTACATCCAAAATAAAGCTGCCTCTTTTAGTTGATCCTTGCATTTATGAGTCCTGCATTTGGGTCCTGCCTGCCACACAGCAAACCATGACAATATGTGACCTATCCCAACTAGATTCTACTATTCTAATTACCTCAAGCAAGCTTAATCCCTGTATCATCATACATTTACCACAGAAAGAGGTGAAGCTGAACTCTCTTTGGCATACAGGTTATATGTACTGGTGCTCTTCAACACAGTGCAGCCTCCTTTTCTTTTACAAGGAGTTGTTCAACCAGATGAAGTGGTGCAGCAATGAGTCGTGTAACTTAATGTTAAATATAAAAAAGAAAAAAGGCGAAAGTTAAGCTGGTAAGAATGTACAAACAGAAAAACATTCATTCTAAGCCACAAAGAGCTAATCAAGTCGAGTGTGTTTGTTCATGAATGAATCACTGTTTGCATTTTCTGGCTCAGAGTCCATGAAGAGGGAAAAAGTATAATGTTATTTTAAAGAGCAGTCACTGAAGCGATTTGAACACAGGTTTAGTAAGTTCAGATCTCTGACGCCAGGAATCACCAAGGTAACAGGTAACAGGTAAATTAAAAGCAAGAGCCTTCATTTTAATTCACGCTGATGTTAAATATTAAAAAAAGTAACGTCTGCTTAGGATTTCATATTTGTAAAGATCAAACTTCTTCAAGTCAAGACGCTCAGAGACGAGCTGCAAAAATGATAAAATGTTATAAGGAAATGAAACGGTGCGTCAGTCAGCTCTCTTTCTGGAAGAGAGAACCCAGACAATCTGAAACAAACTCTTTTCACTAAACTTGCTTTCTGGAAGAGCGCCCAGGCAGAAGGTACAGTGCAGATAGCCAAAATATTTGTTCATATGAAAAGATTCCCTCTGATCGGGCTTTGGTTGAATGCTTTTAAAAAAACATGCAACAAAACTGTGCGGAAGCAAAAGAGCAGCTGCACGGAAGGTCTAAAACATGATCGGATAAACCAACAACAATTAATTTTCTTATTGGCTTTTTAAAATTTATTTGCATTTATAGGCAATAACCGGGCTAATGAAAACAGAAAATCGATTTATATATCTGCTGAACACACAAAAAGATTGACTTCTGCAGTTTCTGCATTTGCCCCAAGAGGCTATGTCAGCAGACTAGATGATGGGTTCTCAGTCTGCCAAACTGTAAGCTGGACAGGGGTTACTGTAAATTTACCTTAGTTCCACTTCAAAGAAGAATAAGAGATTAAGTGTAGGGATATGTGTGTCTCCTAAAGAAGACATTAAAGCATAATTTTTTCTGTTAATGGATCATTTTCTCTTTCCAAAGTAATTTGCAGTGGAAAAAAAGTCAACATGTAAAAGAGATAGAGATGTTTCCAGATATCGCCAGCTGGCATATAGTAGATCACTGGCATGGTGCTTTCTCACTTGCACTCTGTCACTGGATTCAAGGTTAGTATAATGGCTAAGTATAATGTCTACGCCTGTGTTTGCATGTACGTCCATGGCGTCTTTAAAGCAGATCCAGTCAAGCAGACAGAACCAGGTCACAGGAGAATAGGGCGAGAGAGAGGGAGGTGCAGAGACAGCCTTAGGCATGAGAGAAAGGGGCATGTAATGAGAATGAAGGAGGAAGGGGCCAGGCATGGAAAGGGAAGAAGGATGGAAAAGAAAGAGAGGACAGGGAAAGAGGGCCAACAGAATCAGACCAATGATCAGGCTAAGTTAAGGAAAAGCAGAATGACGAGCTGAAGTAGAGGAAAATAACCGGGGACAAAGGCAGCTAACACAGGGATGGGTTTTCTGACTTAAATCATTGTGTTCTCTCAGTCTTATTAAGGATTTAGATTTTTTTAGAGTCAAAAAACTAGTTAATTTTGTGACATATTTAGTTTGTTAAGAAAAAGAACAGACAAAAAACATTGAATCTTTATCAGGTTTTAAGGGTGAACTATTATAATTTTTTCATTTTAGTTTTTGCCGTGTTGTGACTACTGTACGTCGAGCTGAGTACATGTAGAGTTTATGTGATGGCCACACATGGTGATGGTGTGTTGTATGTTTTTACCCGCTCCAACGTGATTTCCTCATACTCATAGTCTGCTTCTGTTCCATTGACCTGTTTGAAAGATAAAAAAAGAGAGAGATGAAAATGAACAGAGAGAATAAACTCTTTCTTTAATCCACATTTGCTTTTCCTTATTTTCTGTCACTGTTACAGTGCTGGATGTTTATATTAAACATGGCCAGTGTTTCAAAACATAAAAACTCTGCAAGCCAAAAAATCAATCAATCAATCAATCAATCAATCAATCAATCAAATAAGCTCAGGATTCAGACTGCTTCAGTTTTTTTCAGGTCAGGCATTCAAATGTTACTGAAAGATTAATGTTTGCAAAGAAAGAAAGTTGTGATACAAAATAGGTCATATGTCATATTGTACAAATCTGGGCTTTACACTCATCTTTGCAGTAGTTACCCTTTAGATGTTAAGAAGAACAGAGCATCTTTGGTGAGACCGCCTACACTTTTACATCACAAGTTAAATGTCACATAGACCACAACTTTTTAAATGTTTTTTTTTAAAAACCCTCAATCTTAGTCATGTAAAAATGTTCTTAAGGTGAAAGTAAAATATGAGGTAAAATTTGTTCACATAAAAGAGAAACTACATTTTGTGTAGTTAGAAGTCACCAGAGATTAAACGTAAAACCCTGTCTTAGTGCAGCAGACACTGAAGCACACCAAAGTAAGCTGCTATCTCTGAACATTAATAGGAGCTTGACAACGTTTGTTTACTTCTAACTAAAAATGTGACTTGATTATCTGATCACTAACACACTGCCTATTGTAGGTACGCAGACTGCAAGAAGTATGTGAACAAAAGAAATGAGAATTTAGGAATTTGATTATTTATGACTGATGCATGAATCCCGCAGATTAGATCCGTAATGCGATGATGCGTCTATGATGTCATATTTAAGAGCATCCCTGATGGCTTGCCCGTGGGCCAATCACATTGCTCAGCCTGGACCGTCTGTACTATAAATCACATTAACATCCACGTTTTAAGACTGAATGTAAAGAGCACAGAATTAAATCGGATCTCAATATATTTTGAGTCCGGCTCAGTTGACACTAGGACATACAGCTGCTGGGGGCGAGATGACACGCACACACACATAGTTGATAAACACGCAAACACAGTGGTCGAGAGGCATCCCAGTGGCCCATGTAATCCCCTTGGCTGTAATCTGTGCCTCTGTGCGCTCAGATTAGTTTAGATTGTGAATCTCTGTCGTTTCAAACAGAGGGCACGATCATCCATCAGCCACCATGTACGCTGTGACTACTACTATCTGACACTATTGACATAGTGGTGAGTGCTGCCTGATTATATGGAATTGAACTTACTATGAATATGATGAAAAACTTAGATTCCTTTGAAACCCTTTAAAATTATTGGATTATTTACTGTGAAGCACAACCAGCATCACAAGTGTCAATATCATAGCATCACAGCATGTGTATTATAACATAGCAATGCACCTGGTGCATTTTTGGCTCCAGAATACCCTGGTCTCTAAAGGTGTCAGAAAAGGTTAGTCCTTACTGGAGAAAAGCATCCATAAATGATATCAGCGAACTAATAAGTGAAACCTGCAAGCGCACAAATCTTTCACTGCCTGTGTTTAATTTCAGTTTTAGTTCAGCAGGGACTAATTCCACAGTAATTACATAATAAACTTATCTAACAACCACAGATACTGATTTTCTGTGGCAGCTGGTAAAACGACATCTGTATTCATGTAATTCTAAAGTGAGATTTCAACCTAAAACTCCGTGCACGTTAATTGTTTGTAAAATATTCAAATTACTGCACATGTGAAGCACATTTTTTGGCAAGAAAAAAAAAACACTAAATTAATGGACTAAAGACAATGATTTAATGTAAAGTTTTTATATTCAACCTTACTATTTAAAAAATATAATTATAGTCTAGCCTTATATCTGAAGCCGTACTCACATATGGGGGGGTGTCGACGCTGTCGGTGTTGACCACCACTGGAGGGGGGTTGGCCTGAAAGAGACAATGTCGGTGTTATTATTAATTACTTTTAATATCAAAGCACTCTTGCTGAGAACAAAGAGAAACACACAGAGAGCAGCAATAAGCACTTACTCGTCTCATGTTTTGGTACAGCATTTCGAGTACATCTGCTACAGATTACCACCCTGGAGCGACGGCATACACTGCATGACATACTGCACAGCCCTTATACTGGGCAGTACTACAGTACTACACGGCAAACCACGCTATAGGACAACTTACTAAAGCTCTGCCACTGTGCCATAAAGTGTCTCAACAAAAATTCAGAACTGGACCACAAAACACTCGATACATTTTAGACGTTTTTTCTAATAGTAAAATAGTACAACATTGTACACTGCTGCACAGTACTTTACACCACCATCCTATTGTAGGTCATCCATATTTAATCTCTTAAATTAAGTCAACTTCCCAGATCCATCTGCTTTGTATAAATCCACCGACCGCAATCTCCCCTTCACTCCCATGCGCGCTCTGCACTCTACAACAAGTGTTTATTCCTTTCTTCTGCACCCAAAATCAGCCTCCTCTTTCTTCCCGGTCTCCTTCTAAAGAAGAGGCTTGGAGCGATCTGTGCTAGGGTTGTGGCAGCTGCAGATGACTGACACTGGTTTCCATTTCCTATTTTCTAATCACATGCAAAGCAAAAGGCAGGAAACTCACTAATACCTACAGGATGTCGTTTTTGTCATTTTGCAAGAACATGAACATCTTTTTTTTTTTCCATTTCCAACCTACTGACTCCTGTTCCCTCGTCTCCTCTCACTTTCTCTCCAGAGAGTATCTAGTGCCCTGACGTCCACCTTTAGCACTGGCTCTAGACTTCTCAAACAGCCCAGCGATCAGCGTGCCAGTCCATTTAAGAACTCCGCTTCTTGTTCTGTCGCCAAAAAAAGTTGCCAAACTAACAAGTTAAACTAGCATCAAACAAGCAAGAGAACCAAACAGGCCACCATAACCATGAACATGCAGCAGAGCAGCAACAGCATCTATGTCTCTACTAATCTCTACCTCTCATCCACCCTGTTGCCTCCCCCCCACCCCCCACCCCCTCCTCTCTCACTGCCACATGTGGAACTGTCAGTCAAGCTGGCTGGATGCTTGATCCCACAAGGGAACAGAAGGGGGTAGTGTGGGGTGTGGAGGATTATAGGTATGGTGGGAGGAGTGAAATCCGCCTGCTGGTCAACAATATTGAGAAATGTAGAGTGGAGAAAAAAAAGGACACAGGATTTTTTTTAAAAAGAAAAAAAGAAAAAAAATAACAGTGTGAGAAGAAATTTGGAGTAAGGTTCAGAGAGACATAGATACAAGGAGGCTGGGACACAGCAGGTTAAGTCCTGCATAATGAGGCACTGAGGCCATGCTGACAGGTACAGCTGTTGTCGTCAGGATGTATGAGGACCTGTATTTATGTCAGAGAAGACAAAGAGGAAAATATCTGTATTAAATATTTTTGGACTGTTATTTGATTTAGGAGAACACTATTCAAATGTTAATGTATACCTAAAGCAAAAATAGGATCTCTCAAGTTTGCTGCTTTTCAAAGAGAGCTCAGACAGTTTTAAAAGCTTTAGAAAAACACTGCAGATCACTGCAACAAGGACACCAACCCTCTTTATCCTTTGCCACTAGAAAGCTCACATCAATCACATCAACATAAGGAAATTTAAGAAAAAAACTTAATGACTTCTGATCCCAAACAAATGCACACATTGAGACTACAACCTGTAACAAAGTAACCAGGGACCGATATTATAGGGGTGGCCTGGCTGAAGCTGTTATTTATCTAGGGGTGGCATTGAGTGGAATCAAATGCACTTGGTTCATTAGTCATTGGCATGTGTGACCACCTGTCATTTGGTTTTAGCATTTTGTTGGTCTGGGGGGGTTAACTGAATGCCTCTTTACAACTCTGCAGGCTTCAATTAGACTTTTAAATGTTAAAGCTCACGAGAGCACAATTAGAAAAAGACTGAACAAATATGAATTGTTTAAAAGGGTTTCCAGGAGAACGCCTTGTGTCGATAAACATGGCAGCATAGCTTAGGTTTACAAAGCTGCATCAGGACAAACCACAAAGACTTCTGGAACAATGTCCTCTGGTAAGACAGAACCAAAGTGGAGATGTTTGGCCACAATACACAGCCAAACACAGCATATCAGCACAAACACCTCATAGCTACAGCTAAGCATGGTGGTGGAAAACTAATGATTTTGGCTTGTTTTGCAGCCACAGGACCTTGGCATCATGCAGTCACTGAGTTGACCATGAACTTCTCTATATACCAAAGTATTCTAGAGCGAAATGTGGAGCAATCTGTCCAACAGCTAAAGCTTGGCCAAAACTGGGTCATGCAACAGGACAATGATCCCAAACACAATCACAAGCAGCAATTGTACAAGAAAATGGCTGAAAAAGGAAAGAGTGAAGGTGTTGCAATGGTCCAGCCAAAGTCCACACCTCAAACTGACTGAAATGCTGTAGCAGGAACTAAAGAGAGCTAGGCATAAATGAACGCCTGCAAACCTCAATGAACTGAAGCAACAATATAAAGAGTAGGCTAAAATTCCTGATTTAAAAACAATTACTTCAAGTTATCGCTTTTATGTAAGCCTCAGCTGACAAAAATTATCTAGGAAAATCGATAAAGTTGTTGTTTTTTATATGTAAAAGCTCATATGATGATTATAATAAGGATAAGGATAGCTGCATTGTCAAAATGTGTCAGTGTGTGGGTATAATGGTGGCAGAAAAATCAATCAGTGAAAAAATTCTGCTAGAAAAAACACACTCACTGAATGTAACTCCAGTTCTGAGTCTATGCACAGCCCCCCTGTGGGCTTTCCCATTGGTTGGGTGTGGTGGTCAGAGGGGTGGCCAGATTTTAGCCTGTGGACGACAGACTCTACACTCCTGACTTTCACCAGCCAAAACTTGTTTGTCACTGTAATTATCGTGTAGGCTTAACCTGTTAATACCAACAAAGATAACCAGTTAATTGTTTATTCTAATAGTCTTAGACAATGAAACACACTGACGGAGTCACCTCAGCTGACACTACTGTATTAACACCTATTAACCACAGTATGGAATTTATTCCACTATGCATGCTAGTCCACCGCTTTGCCTAAACCTTATGTGACTCCCTCAGCAGAGGAAAAGCGTTGCACAGTGCAGACAAGCTCTGCGTAAGTGTCTCTTTCTCTGTTTGTGCGCACCATTCACAAAGCGACAAATCCAGTCCGTCACTCAGCTGGTGATTCCATTGGCACGCCATGTCAGACTGCACCCTTATGTAACATCAATACATATTTGAATTTGTGTGTGTGTCTGAGTGTGTGAGGACAGAGTTGTGTTACATGAAAAGGCCAAAAGTACAAATGTGCAAATATAAACAAACAAGCACTCGGTGCACAAATACACAGGCACACAAAACATCCATATCCAGACAGTGTTTTGTTGTCCTGTGCAAGTGATTGTCAGTCGTTACATAACGGGTGTTACACCAGCTGTGTTATCATGGCATTATGGTTGGTTGAGTCCAACACAGGACAGCTTAGAGAGAGATCCAGACTATCCCACGTTTGTCTTATCACACAGAGAGACATACAAGTGATTAGGTCCTGAAGGAGGTCTGCATATGTGTGTGTGTGTGCGAGTGTGTAGACTTGGGGAAATGATTTTCCATTAGTGTAGCGGGCTTTAATCAGCTTCTAAACCATCAACGTAATTATTAATTAGCAGATGACTCATGATTGGATAAACAGAAATCAAGAATCCTATAGCAATCTAACACACACACAATCACATATGGAAGAACGTGCAAAACACATACAAAGGCCAAAGTGTTGCGTTTCTCTAAAACCAACTCACACTGGCTGTCCACAGAGGTGAACACGGACCCAAACATTCATACAATCATAACATCATCGCTCGTTCTGACTTCCTAACAAGCAATGAAAATCAGATAACTTAATCAGATGGAGCATGACTCCATCCACTCAGAACAACCACTCTAATCACACTAATCACACCATCGCTACCTTCTAACTCTGTGATCACCGTGTCCGCAATAACTATAGCAAGTAGAAGAGAGCTACACTGTTACATTCATTTCCTTTACTATTCTTCATCTCTGTAGAGTTTATATAATACGACACATTTCCTGTTACACATGGATGGCTATGCTCTTTTGATTGTATTACTGGGAATCGCTCTTGCACTGCGCCCATCATTGTTCAGTGCTGTCCCATTGACTGCAGGCTTTATTTTGAAACCTTTCATTTGCTCTAAATCTGTTTTCTCTGTATTTCTGAATTACTTCCAGTATCCCTCAGAGTAAAAGAGAGACAAGCTATGAATATATTACAATTCATTTGACAGCCCAGAGTGCAGTTTTGTGTGGAAAACATCAGCAAAGCACTCGAAGCTTCAAGATAATGGCAGCAATACTGTAGTGACCTTATGCTTCTAAATTGTCCATAACACTGTGGTCAGATATAAGTACAACACTTGGAGATTGCTTTTAGCAGCCAATGTATTTGTAGACCTCCCATCAGGAAAACAAGAATAATATTAAGGGCATTTGGAATATTGGGTAAGTATTGGGTAACAAGAACACACCCTCAGATCGGCCTATTTATTTCATTAAGAATAGTCAAGTTGTTGATGACAGGACTGAAGTAGCAAACAAATTAAATTCCTTTTTTGTAAATGTTGGACCTACTTTAGCAAATTTAATTAGAAAAAATGACGACCCAGAATATGAGGAAGTCTAGAAAGGAGAAAGTAGAGTGGTTACTTCTATATTCTTAGCTGATATTACCATAAAAGAAATAGTAGCAATTGTAGAAAACTTTAAAAATAAAAAATCTACTGACTGTGATGCTATAGACATGGTTATAATTAAAAAGACTTTAGACTGTATAAGTATTCCTCTTTGCTATATTTTTAATCTCTCGTTACAATCAGGAGTATTTCCTGATTGAATGAAAGTGGCAAAAGTGATACCCTTATATAAATCAGGAGATAAGCATAGTTTTAATAACTATAGGCCAGTGTCTCTTTTGTCACAGTTTTCAAAAGTGCTTGAAAAACTTTTTGCGTAAAGACTTGATAGTTTTATTGAAAAAAATCAACTAATAAATGAAAATCAATTTGGCTTTCGTAAAAATAGATCAACGGCATTAGCATTGTTGACTTTCATTGACGATATTTCATCTGCAACCCATAATAATAAATACACAGTCGGGGTATTCGTTGATTTAAAAAAAGCTTTTGACACGTTACAACATTCTATTTTGATTTCTAAATTGTATACTTATGGTGTGAGAGGAGTGGCATTGAATTGGTTAAGGAGTTATTTAGAAAATAAGTCCCAATATGTACATTATCTCGGCAATACCTCTGAAAGATTGAAGATTGTATGTGGCGTTCCTCAAGGTTCTATTTTGGGACCTAAACTTTTTAATTTATTTAATAATGATATCTGTGACGTATCAAAAAGGTTAAATTTTATTTTATTTGCAGATGACACAAATGTTTATTGCTCAGGAGTGAATTTGAAAGATTTGAAATTATGATTTCTGAGATGTTAAGATTAAAAAAATGGTTTGATGTAAATAAATTATTTTTGAATCTGACAAAAACGAAATTCATGATATTTGGCAATCGTGTAAAGGAGGAAGAAGTCATTATGTCCATTAATGGAGAATTGATTGAAAGAGTTGCTGAATTTCGCTTTTTGGGTGTAATAGTAGATGAAAATATGACATGGAAATCACATATTGAGTATGTTAGAAAGAAGATGGTTAAAAACATTTATATTTTGGGAAATGTAAGAGATTTATTAGACTACAAAACAATGCGCATTTTATATTTTTCATTGTTTTTCTCATACTTTAGTTACTGTGTGGAAGTTTGGGGAATACATATGAGAATGCTATAAAACCTCTAAACTTATTACAGAAGAAAGTGATACGAATGATTCATAACGTTAAAAATAGAAAACATACAAATAAATTATTTATAAAATTGAAATTATTAAAATTAAGAGATTTAGTGAAACTACGGACACTATTAATTATGTTTAAGGCTAAAAATAAAATTTTGCCTTTTAAGTTACAAAGATTATTTTCAATGTGTTCGGGGGGAGAAGACAGCAGAAGCAAATTTTATTTTAAACATCAGCTAGCTAGGACTACACAAAGATTAATGAGTCCATCGGTTAGGGGTATACGACTGTGGAACTCTCTTCATTATAATTTAAAGAACTGTATAAATTTATAGTGTTTTAAAAAGTGTTGCATGTCTAAAACGATAACTCAATATGAAGAACGTGAACGAAGTTAATTAATTAATTAGTTAATTAAAAAAGGATCCATTATTTTTTGCCTCCATTATTTTTTGCCTCATTTTATTTTATTTACTTATCTTTTATCCTTGTTACTATGTGGAGTGGTATATTCTGATTGTAAATTTGTTGTTTGGTTTCGCTTTAGGACCGGAGATAAATGTTAGTTTGTTCCTTGCTTTTTGGTGCCCACTTGCAATATAAGTTGTATTGTAGATGGGGGGCAGGGTTTAATAAGAATATTTTCTTCTTCCTGCTCCTATTCACACATGGTTGCAGTGCTTTACCGATAGAAAGTGTGGTTGGTTTGTCTGAAAGAACTAACTGTGGAAACTGTTGTACCAAGTGTGAAATAAATAAATAAATGAAATGAGATAGCAATACTCTGAGTCTGAAGGAGGCTGTTGTCACAAATTACACTTCTTCCTTGCTCACTGTTCCATCTTTCTTTTAGGGACTAATGTAGCCAGTTTATATTGATTCTAGCAGTACTTTGAACATAGTAATCAATGCTATTATTTCCATACAATTGAAGCTCTTATCAGATGTTATGTCAGTAAAGGACACAGTGTCCTGTATAAAATCAGTGAATGTCTCGTTCTCTACTGCCATGTGTTTTTTTCCCTTTTTGTAACGCACTCTCTATATCACCCCTATATAAGTGTGTAGCTTTTCATTTGAAGATCTTTCTACAAACAAACACTAAGAAAGCAATTTGCCCAAAATGCAGTGGCCAATAAAATAGCTGGAAAATAGTGACATAGAAATATATGTTAAGTAGAAGTATATGCTCTCTGAAACTGAACTACAGACCAATGTGATATACTCAAAGAAATAATACAGATTTCTTTCTAGTTAGCATGAGGTTATCTTTCAAATGATACAATGGACTAAAGGTGGCCCTTTCCTTACAATACCAATAAATCCACCTAGCAGAATGGTCTACAGTACATGCAGGACACCCTCCCCCATCCCAAACCTAGTTCTAGATACCAAGGCTATAGTTACTTCTACACCTATTGAAATTTTGAGGATGACATAGTAAATGATTAATTTTCTTTTATAATCAATCATTAGCTTGACTGCTTATCAAAAGTATTTGTTCATGACTTTATTTAGCACTAATAACAGGCAAAATCCACCACAAGTGCATCTGCACAATGCATAACTGAAAATTGTTTCTGGTATCAGCATCTCACTCAGTAGAGATAGATGGGAAATAACGCTGTTCCCGCCTTTGCTGTCCACGTCTGACATACTTCCACCTATAACCTACCTGTACATGGGCTTGTATTCGTGGGAAGTGGTGTATGAGTGGCACATGTGGGGGTGTCTCCATTGAGTGTGCAGTCCAGATATACGTGTCATTGGGCCACAGCCTGCCTCCTGTTTTGCCTTTGCTCTTTATGGGACTCTTTTTCACGCTGTCTCTAAGATTGGGAAACTTCCCTCTACAGCCCCTGTTGGCGAGGTTGGTAGGAAGTGTGCTCCACCCATTACCCCCCAGCCCGGAATACAAGGGGAGCTGTGGAGAGTGAAAAGGATGGATAGAAAGCGACTGGGAGGCATGAGGAAGAGGAGAAGGGCAGTTGTGGTGGTGGTGCTGGTACTGCTGGAACAGTGAGTGGTGACTGGGGGAGTGGAGCTGCTGCTGCTGGTGGTAGATTTGATGAGTCGAATGTGAAGAGAGCATGTGACTGGGCGAGGCTGATGGGTGATACTGGTTGTGAGAATGATGCTGCAGCTGATGATGACTTGCTGACAGGTGAAGCAAGTGGTCGTTGGGGGAGTGATAGTGGCCTGGTGATAGGTGAAGCTGATGGTGGCTTGGCGAAGGAAATAGGCTGTTTGGGGACTGTGGGGCCAGATGGCAAGTTGGTGATGGCGGGCATAGCTGATGACTGGAAGATGGTGGCGCTATGTGGTAGTAGCTGGGAGAGGGAGACGGAGTGAGCTGTTTTGGCGGATGCCGTTGCTTTGGCTTTGGTGAATGCGGGTGGCGCTTTGGTGAGTGTCGAGGCGAAGATTGCAGTTGGTTACTCGGCGTCTGTATTTGCAATAAATTCTGGTTATGCTTCGAGTGAGAGTGGCTCTTGCTCGACTTGGCCTTCCCTTTGCCAGATTTGCCCTTTGTGGTGCCACCGCTGGGCTTTTTAGGGCTACAACAAAACTCATGGCTGTGGAAATAAGTGTTCATACTGACAAAGATTCATAAAAACACAAAGAAATCCTCTCTGTCGTCTTTACGTTTTGTTTTTTTATTTATCGCTTACCACACTCTCTCCTTTACTGAGATGCTCCTCACCATCACTTCTGTCTGAATAATGTAGGTCATGCCTCTCAAGAACAACCAATCCCTCTCCGCATCCAGTACAAAGTAGGTATTTCAGCCCTTTTTTCTCATATGTCAATAAGTAAATCTCACCGGAATAAAAAAAAATAAAGTAATCCCTCCTCTTTAGGCAACTTTACTCGTGTTTCCTTTCCCTTATGGATTTGAGTGTGAATTAGTCGTCAAAAGCAAAGCATCCTCCTTTATTACCATTTTTAACACTCTCACCATCTCTCATTGGTATGGTAGCAGTAGGATAATAAAAGCTGGGTCCCAAAAAGAAACAGGAAAGCCACTTGGACAAGTTGACCACTCCTTCCAGTCCTGCTTTGTAGACAGTGCTCCAATGGAAGATTTCTCACTCCTGTGGTTAGTCTACTCCAGTCTTCAGTCAGAGTAATTCACATTATCCACCGACAGCACACTCCAGTTTTGTATCAAAAGTGTTGGCCCCTCAGCATTCATCACATTTATATATTCCAAAAAGTCCTATATTGCATTTCCCTTTTCTCTTAAGATTTATATTCATTCTTTAAATCCAGCAGAAATTTAAAAAAAGGTCTGAAAGAGTTCTCATCATCTTCCTTCTCTCATCTTGTCTTGTTTTCATGGTATGATAGATTGAATTAGCCACATCCCTCAGCTGCTCTCATCTTTCTATGGTGCCTCTTTCCCTCAGCATCCACCTCTCTCTCTCTCTCATTCTCTCTCTTTCCCCAACTCACTCTCTTGCTCTTTCTCTCCCTTTCCCGGACTGGCCAATTAGGGGGCTTCCCCGGACTCCTGCACATGACAGCAGCCAGGCATAACTAATCGATAGGCAACCGAGGACAGCAATACAGCGCTCAGAGTCACAGTGTGTGTGTGTACAAAGAAGGGAGTGCTGTGATTGGTGGATTGCGGTCGCTTCCATCAACCTTTGTCTTGCTCTTTTAAAGCATCTCAAGACAGGCCGGGTCAGCTGGAATGCAGTGTTTGCAAGCGCGTTTTGTGTGTATGCCTTGGCCTACTTCACTGTCTCTTTGTGAATCATGATGTGGTTGCTTATTATATGTTTCAGGCTTTAATTTATCTATGGCAGAAGGTACGCCTTTGGTCTTTTACAGTTGTGGTCAGGTATGGAAACTTAATACATAACCATCTAAATTGTGTTTTTTTATTTATTTCTTGCATACAGTGCCACGAAAAAGTATTTGTCCCACTGCAGAAAATCCTCAAGGAAAGTGTCCAGCTATCAGTTCACGCGCTGAAGTTCAAACTCAGTTATTCAGCAGGACAGTGACTGGAAACACCAAGTCCACCCCTGAAAAGCTAAAAAAACAAAACACAATGAAGGTTTTGGAGTGGCCAAATCAAAGTCCTGACTTAAAGCCAACTAAGATTCTTTGGCATGACCACATCGTTCATGCTCCAAAACCCTCCAATGTGACTGGATTAAAATAATTCAGCAAAGAAGAGTAATTGCTTTTTACACAGGACCACATAGGTTTTTCTTCCCTTAATAAATTATCAATGAACAACAACAACAACAACAACAAAAAATCAAACATTTTGTATTTACTGAAGTTCCTTTGTCTAATATTAAGATTTGTTTGATGATCTGAGACATAAAAGTGTGACAAATAAAGAAAAGAAATCAGGAAGGGGGCAAATACTTTGTCACTGCACTACACTTGCAGCGCTGAAGAGGTGTTGCAGTATAAGTAATAACGAGTAATATGGGATGTGGCATTGCACCTTTATGCAAAAAAAGATATTTGGCATTGTGGGCCTACTGAGCTTTTCCTTTGTGTTCATTGTTTTGCGACGTTTCAGACAGGTTTTTTTCTTTTTTCTATTCTTGGCTCCATATGATGTCAGCTAGGGGGTCATTTCAGGGACACAGCTCTGGCTGGAAACACAGAAGCACTATCCATCTGCTGTTCAAACTTTCTCATTATGAGGAAAGTTGGAAAAAAATCAGCTTGTTTCTAACAGTGGATGAACTGTGAAAGAGCACCAAGGACCAGTATAATCTTAGTAAAGTATAAATTTGACACTTCTTATGTTTTCTTCCTGTTGAGATGGAACTAATTATATACCTATGCAACCTTATACCCCAGAAAACATTCCGATATTCAAGGTTATTGAAGAACTTGCAGTTTACATGTTTAGAAAAATGTATGTGTCTCTTTAACAAACTTAGATGGACTTGGTTAGATAACCAGCAGGAATTCATACTATTAACTGATTTGGGTTAAAGTCAACACTTGGCAACACTTAAAAATAAATCAATAAATTCACCTTCTTTTTTTACATTTAAGTAGATGCATAGATACGACTATAAAAACCCTACTGATATCAGTTGAGCCTGTGCACAGTGACTGAGAAAAGGCTTATTTTTTCCCCCAGATCAGTTTAAATATAGCTTCTGGCAGCCTACAGTTGGTATTTAGGAAAGAACAGGATCTGCCATTGGAGCAAGAGAAATGCACACACACATACACCTATCTGGTTGTAGCTATGAGCCTGATGTCTTTATAATGTCAGTTAATATATAGCACAACTGGCCCCAAACCAAGCTGATAAAAAAAAGAGAAGCAAATAGAGATAAGGCACATTAAAAAGCAGCACCCATGTGGAGAGCACAAAGAGATGGAGAGAGGGCGAGGGTGGCAGAGAGAAAGCCTGTTGTAGCGGCCCAGTGCGTTACGAGTGTGTGTGTTCCGTGTGTAAAGTACTGCTAGCGCTGCAGGCTAAGCGCTCAGTCAGAAGAGGATGAGCAAGAAGAATAGGCTGTTAGCATCACAGCGCTAAATGAAGCCAGCACTAATATAGTGCTAGAGGGCGGGGTAGGGAGGGGTGGAGGCTGCTGCTGAAACATGAAAATACAGGGATGGGGTGGAGAGGGCAGACAAGGAGAAGAAACAAGGATGTGAGAATAAGATATTTCACATCTTAGAGCCTAATCCACAATGCTGCAGTGTGGATTAGGCTCATATGAGAGAAGTATAATCTGTCAGTCAGGTTCTAGTCCCTGCTGTGATTACTCCATTAGTACTAAAGGTGGGACAAACTTGACACTGCACCCCCAAATCTTTTTATTAGAAATCATCTGACTCAGCCTGCCTACACTGTGTCAAGCTCTACTTAGCTTTCTACCCCCACTCTAATTTGACACCACTATGTAATGTTTTAATTTAATTTTTTTAACAGAAAAACATTAGGAAAATAATAAATCAGCCAACGTTACACCATCAGTTCTGCACACTGGTTTAATTGAGTAGTTATTTTCTCTTCTGGGTCAGAACAACCCGACTATCCAGGAGAAAAAAAACAACCTTATTTGCTGAGTATAAAACCTTTTGTGCTCCATGCAATTACTGTAATAGATATTAATTATTCTTTTACACATGCACACACGCACACACACACACACGCACACACACACACACACACACACAGTCACACACAGACAAACACATGAAAATGTTCAAAGCACTGAATTCACACAATCCTTTCTTTCCTGTAAAAAGTGAAGATGTGGGCCATGTCTTTTTTGCTCCTTCATGCTTCACTCAAGCAAAATGTTTTACTATTTATCTCTAAAAGCCAAAAACTGACCACACCAAGAGCCGTCAGCGAGGATCAAGTGTTTGACAGCAAAAACAGACATGTGACAGGAGACAGCATCTTGGCTAGAGGCTGAGAGGATTTGCAGAACAGACTTCCGAAAACAATTAACTACAATCAATAAACTCCACTCTCTCCAGATTGGAGACTAGGTTGTAATCCTGGCTGTCCCCAGCAGGAGGCCTCAGACTCCACAGACAGATGGAGAACTGAGAGGAGGCTAGAATGCACGCACACAGATACGATGAAGGTGACGTCATGAGTACTGACTTACATTTATGTAGTGTCCCACTCAGATACTGAGGCCCCACACCTCAAAAAATTCAAATCATTTACTGACTCTTAGGTGAGCAAAATAATTGTCATAATAATGAACACACAGGTATAGAGCTTTGAATGCTGTCCAGTTTTCCAATCCCACAAAATGTTACATTTGGTAGTTTCTTGATGGTATAATGGTATAATTCAGAGTATTTTGAAGCTTCAGTTGTCGAGTGCTTGGCTTCATCTTGGAATCACTTCATCTTAATTGAAACTGATGGTACATATTACGGTAAATATTACGGTAAAGGCTGTAAAATACATTTTCGGTGTAATTATACGGCCTGAAGAGTTCAAGAAGTGCGCAGTCCAATTAGCACTGGCACCAGGTCTAACAGCATTTAAAAGGCATTTCCTGTTAACAAATGCGCGTACTATTTCTCATGTCACTGACTTTTCTAAACAGACACAAATCGACTGAATAATGGCTGCAGATGCTCTGACACGATCCACAAGTAAAGCTTGTAAAAAAGACCAACAGGAGCCGTGGTCTCCATGGATCCAGTGGGTGATCAGACATGTGAGGCTGCAGCCTGAGATCTTCATTATCATATATCACACACCAGCAGCAGAAATCAGTATTAATTTACAGAGTCTGTTATGACTAGAGCAGAGATGTGCTCTGGGCTGGAGCTGGAAGGCTTTGACAAGCTTTTGCTGTTAAAGATTTAAATGTTGTCTGTCTGTAAAATAATAAGATTTAATATTGTCCTTAACTAACTGAGACAAAGAGGAGATCAAGCTTGGCAGACACTTCATTCAGTTTTTTTCACCAGCCAGAAATTTAATAGAGCACAAATATCTATAGCAAATGATTACCTGAGCTCTAACAGCTTATTTAGCTGAAATTCAGGAAATTGACAGCAAGAAAATTCTATTTATTTAAATAAAAATCTAACATAATTTGAAATGGATGTCCCTGTTTACCACCCATATATGTAACTGTTGACCGATATCACAACGTTAACAAATAAGATATGCTGCGACACATCAGTGTTGTTCATGTTCAAAAATTGCACGATCAGTGTTTCCCACAGAATCAGTAGTGCACAGATATACAGGCATTGACATACATCTTATTTTCATAAAGAAACTACTTGTGGCAATACATTACTATTATCAGCTTCCTCATTCTGTGGATGAACTACATCTACACTCTTTCAGACTGTACCTGGGCTTCAGGCGCAGGTAAAACAAGGAGCTGGTGAAAAGACTTTGAAATATGTCCCTTATTTCTCATATGGATCAAATTGCTTCCTGTCATGTAAATAAATAACCACAACAAAAACCCACAGATTCAGAGTCTGTGGATCCCTATTTGAAACAGCATTCATCCTGAATCGACAGCGTCTTAGCGTATCGATAAGAACATGGCTTAGAAACACACTGTAAACACGTTGTACCCACAGAAGTGTGGCCTTTATCATAACATAATGGGATTATTACAGTTCTGAAGATTTAACTTCAGCTAATGTGAAGCACTGATCGACAAGAAAGAAATGATTTCTGGAGGATTTGTTTACTGCAATAGTGACTTATTTTCAATCTCATGCCACTATTCCTTATCATAAATACTACAGGTGAGATAACATGCTGTAATAGGAAAGTTAGTGGGGTCAACAGGAGCAGGGCCGAGTCTTCTGTACTGTCATAAACACCTCCTCCTCCTCTGATTGTTGACCTCAGGAAGCGATCCTACTCGTGGGGATGTTGGGTACGATCGTTTCCTGAATTAAGCGCGCAAGGTTCAACAATTACTGAGAGGTTCGTTCTCCGTGGTGTTCACCGCGCTCTCTTTCCCCATCTATCTGTGTCACTCATACATGCTGGTGAAACCATAGCTTCTGTTAACTAGACTGCCTGTGCATCCCTCCAACTGTGAGCCAGAGCTCAGAGTGAAGTAATACATGCTGTAATGGTATTGTCTGTTAAGAAAGTGGTCTCGGAGTCAATTACAGTCACTGTAACTGACACTTTCTTTCTTTGTCTATCAGTGTGCCCACTGTGACTGCCAGGATGGTGATCTCTTCCTCCATGACTTAATTACAAACTCTGTTTTCAGTCTCTAGGCACTCTGCCTAATCCTGGCAGAGATGAAGGAGCTGGAGTCCTTACAGCAGTGCAACAAAAAAAGTGACTTAAAACTGTGGGTGTTAAAAAACTTCTACTCATTAGTTCCTTTTGAATACATTTATTACTCTAGCACAACCACACACTCATATTAAAGCACTGCCAAAGATCCAAAGACAGGAGGATAAGCAGCAACTACTTACCAGTTTATCTGCTGACCATTTTACACTAAACTTATTGCAAAAATGCAAAAATGTCAAATAAAAATTAGAAAGAAAATATTACGTTTCTAAATTGATGTAGGAAAAATGCTTGTTTTTATCTAAGCAACTGTCATAACAAAAGCTTCTTTAGTACCAGTAGTTTTTAAGCTATTTTCAACAACCTGGCCATATTTTATTCTGGACAATAACAACATGTGGAATGATGAAAGTGCAGCACTATACTGCACGCATCAAAAGAAAAACGAAGGAAAAAAAGCCCCCACCAACAGCAAAACACAGCAAGGAAACAGTGTCACAGATCATTTCTAAAGGAAACAATGACATCCCTAAAGATGCAGGCAGCTGAAATAGAGACCGGATCTGTACATTCTTGGTGAGTGAGTCTAATAAGTTAAATTCATTTTAACAAAATGCTCTTGAAAAGCTGATATCTTTAAGTCTTACTGTCCCATCTATTCATTTACTTCCACTTGTCCAATGCAGGATTGTAGGAGGGGCGGGGGCTATAGGGCAAGAGGCAGGGTACATCCTGGACAGTCCACCAATCTGTTGCAGGGCTGATACACAGAGACAGACAGCCATTCACACCTTTGGGAAATTTCGATTCACCAGTTAATCTAACCCCGCTAATTGCATGTCTGTGGACTGTGGGAGGAAGTTGGAGTACCAGGTGAGAACCCACACAGACACACAGAGAATACACAAACTCCACACAGAAAGGCCCCCAAATCCACCATGCACCGAGCAGATGGTGCTTTGAATCCAAGACCTACTTGGTGTAAAGCAACAGTACGAACCACTGCAGCATCATGATGCTGAAATCTTACCTTTACTGAAATTTTATGGTATTGCTGCTCATAGGATATGTGGAAATTTTGACAGTGTTAGTACTGACATTAAAATGTCTCATGCTGTTACTTTCTTAAAGAAGAAACATCAGAAGACACCCACTTGTACCTATCATGCAGAACATTAAAAAACTAACTGGAACTAGTGCATATTTGGCTTCCAAGTGACAGAAACCCTGGCCTGGTTGTTAACACGGACAAGTTATTTCATTTACAATCTGGGAACCAGATTTTGAACGTTTCTGGAAGCCAGCTGACATCACTAGTTCCTCTGCTGTCACTCTGCATATTATCTTTCTCAAAATGCAATCCCTCTCTTGCTCTTATTATGGACTGTTTACCTGCATGCAACCACAGCCAGCTCTAATACAAGCAAACAAATACAAGAAAGCTTCTGGTACCAAAATCGAATCCCTTTCCTGCTGACTCTGCATACTCATATCTGTTTTAGGACTTTTTCCAGAGGCAATTTGCTGAAGTGATATAAAAGATTTGATCATACCTACTTGAAGAAAGGGACAAACTGTCAGAGAGGCCACTACTGGTGGTGCTGCTGCTCATTTCTGTCACAGGATTAAACTTTAATTTTAATCAAGACGCACACTCATTGTCCTACAAGGAGGCACAATTACAAGTCAAGAGGGATGGCATCATTAACTGTTTGCTGGCTCATATTCTCTGTGCAACAAAAGCTTTTCCAATTATAATCTGTGCCTTATGGTGTACAGTAATGAGCCTGTCACTTACTGTAGCACATCCATGTGTGACTGCATAACAAAGGTGCCAATATTATTCTGCCTGGTAGTAATAATAATACACAAGCAGACATTGTTGCTCTAAAATGAAAAGCCGATGCTCTAATGAAGCAGTGACACTCAAGGCTTCTGATTTACATCACAATCAGCACTTATATCCAGTCATGAATTTCTCAAGTAGCGGTGAATAGGTCAAGCCGCCTGTAGTGTCAAACCATCCCATAGTAATCACACAAGATGGATGGAGACATCGTTATGTTGTGTTCAGTCTCATTAGTTAGTGGACATATTAAGTGATTGCTTGTGGTCAGCTAATCTGTGCTGATTATATCAGCATAACCAGAGAACAGGCTGGAGGTAGGAGACTGATGGAGAGGGAGCGTGTGGAGATGTCTGTGTGTGTGTGTTCAGTGTGTGTGGGAGAGAGCTGATATGCAAGCTTCATCCCACTCACAGAAGGTGACGCAACACCTCACACACTCTCAAGCAGCGCAAATCCATTGCACTACTCATGGCCACAACACAATGTGTGTGTGTGTGTGTGTGTGTGTGTGTGTGTGTGTGTGTGTG